AGGACTAAACCAACACTAAATTAGGATTGAACCAGAATTAACCACAACTAAACTAGAACTAAACCAGGACTAAACCAGAACTAAACCAGGATTAAACCAGGATTGAACTAGGACTGAACTAGAACTAAATCAGGAGTAAATCAGGAGTAAACCAAGATTAAACCAGGACTAAACCAACACTAAATTAAGATTGAACCAGGACTGAACCAGAATTAGCCAGGACTGAACTAGGATGAAACCAGGACTAAACAAGGACTAGACTAGACCAGGATTAAACCAAGACTAAACCATGACTAAACTAAGACTGAACCATAACAAGCAGGCTGTAGATGTGTCCAAGGCTAATCTGGGACTAAACCAGGACTAAACCAGGAGTAAATCGGGAGTAAACTGGGAATAAACCAAGACTAAACCAACACAAAACTAGGACTGAACTAGGACTAAACCAGGACTAAACTAGAAGTAGACCAGGACTAAACTAGGACTAAACCAGGATTGAACCAGGACTGAACCCAGAATAGAGTTACAGTTACTCAAAATTAAAAGTTCCAGACATGTATTTCAGCTCCATGTTACCTCCTAAACTGAATATGTTATGAATGAAAACTCCACAGAGAACAGACCAGATCATATCCAACCATTTCCTTCTTTTTCCTTTACTTTCAGAGATCACGACTCACACAGAACCATCTGCAGCTCAGACAGAAGCTCCACACTCGGGTTCCTCTTCATTCACAGCACACTGCCTCTGGACTGTCACCATGTCGTTCCTGCACCAGTACTGTCACGGTGCACACACTTCAAACTCTATATCGATACTCAGGAATAGACTCGATACTCAATACTGACTCCAATACCACTATGATAATAAAAACAAATAAATAAACACCCTAAAGAGTAGAAAATGATCTTCAGCACTAAATAGTAGTACTTTCTTCAGGTAATCCAGGTAGGTTCATAGCGGTGCATGGATGTATACAAGTCTACGTGCTCTTCTACTTGTTCTGGTACAGCTGAAGTTCATTCTAAAGCTTCAGGAAAGGTTCACTTGTGTTCTGTGAATGGGACTTTTGAAACTAGTATCTCGTTTTGAAACTAGTATCTCGTTTTGATACTAGTTTTAGTAGGGATTAGTATCAGAGTTTGTTGCTTTTGAAAATGTTACCCAAGACAGCAGAGGTGGGACTTGCAAGTCGTGACTTGGACTCAACAGACTTGAGTCACTATTTTAAAGACTTGACTTGATAAAATGGACTAAGAGTTGAGACTCGACTTGGACTTGAAGGCAAATGACTTGGGACTTGACTCGGACTTGAGCCCTGTGACTTGAGAAGACTTGATGTTTCTCCTAAAAAATACCAGTATGTGTTTCCAGAAAAGACTTTTTACCTGACACTTCTCTGTTTGGTACTTTGGATGGAACTGAAGTACTGTGATGTGGTATCTCAAATGTACTACAGTAATAACACAGTACAATACAGTAAAACAGGGAACTACATAGAACATAATTCTTCCATTTCAGTGCAGACTACATGACAAAAAACAGCATTTGAAAATCTTAATTCTTCCTATTCTGATCGTAATGGTTCATACTAAGATCTTGTCAAGACATTTAAAAAGGAAAAACTTCAATTTCTACAACTATATAAATACTCATATATAAATCTACCATGACTTTTTAAGTACAGTTTAGTTTAAAACTCATATAAATTGCAAAAAATCTAAAGACTTGAAATGATTTGAAGCTCAAAGCAGACGACTTGGACTTGACTCGGACTTACGCGCCAGTGACTCGAGACTCGACTTGGACTTGCCTGTATTTGACTTGGGACTCGACTCGGACTTGAGTTCAAATACTTGAGACTTACTTGAGACTTGCAAAACAATGACTTGATCCCACCTCTGCCAGTCTGTGCCATCTTGCCCCTGTCGCCACCACCAGTCACTCAAACACAGCGGGCGAGTGAGGTGTCTTGCCGAGGACGCACCGGCAGCAAATGAATGATCACCACAGGAATGATGCAAGTTTTTTTTTGTCAGTACTTCTCAATGAACTTCAAACAGAATCCTTTAATTAAAACATAAATTGCGAATCTAACACTTGTCAGAAAAATCACAATTAGAATTCCCCCCAAATCGCTGAACCCTGGTCCACAGTCGTCGCTCTGCACACACCCAGCATAATGTTACAGTGTTCTCTAGTGTTAACAGTTTCATCAGCTGTATTAACCTGCGTGTTGTTCCACTGTGCTGGAGAGAGAGTGGAGAGAAGCAGGATTTGGGGGATTTTCTAGGGTGTAGTCCGTGGATACAGCCCCCTGCACCTCAGCAGCTCCGCGTACTCTAGACCTTTACAAATAAACCGATTACCGTCAATTAAATAAGCTTGTATTTATCATGCAGGTGTTGGTTTCAATGTCTTATTACCGATAAATGTTAGAACTGATTGAACATGAAACCCGCCCTGAGATTTGATCATACACTTACACGTACTGTTAAATGCTGTTTGAAGGATTCCACATGAGTCGTTTGGCTCGGTGTGTCTCTACTGGGGATACTTTTGGAACATTTTACACACATATTCACCATAACCTGCAGTGCACTTTTAAGTCAAATAGTCCAAGTATGTTGATGAAATAAGATCATTTCTGTGTGTATTCGACTGGGCTGTCTGCACTATTAATATTCAAAAATGAAAGGTTCTGTAATGTCCCTATGTGTCAGATGCCCTCCCCTGCTGCCATAGAGTCTTATTCTGCATTAAAACAAACTGCTCACCAGTTCTGTAGTTTAGATTTGTACAAACATGTTCTGAAATGTCCCTGTGTGTCACATACTGGGCTGGGCTGAATGTTGCAGTGCCCATTTCAGTAAAATAATCCATATATGTTAATGGAATAAGGTTATTTGCATGTGTATTTGATTGGGCTGTCTGTTACTGCTAGTTTAAAGAAGGGGCACTCTCACTTTGTCTTTTAGTACAAGTATACAGCTATTGGTAAGTACTAGAGTATGTTGACCAGATACACTGATTTGTGGGTATATTGGACTGGGTTGTCTGGTAGTGGTGGTTTAAAGACGGGGCATTTTTAGTACTTACAATTTGGAATCAGTCAAGAGTCCATATGTTCTAATGAATTTTTGGACTGGAACACTGAAAGCATGTAGAAATTACTCCGATATTGGTAATGGAATCTCTAGATGTTGATGAAATGGGCTAATTTGTGCGTGTTTTAGATTGGGCTGTGTGTCACTGCTCTCTTAACTCGAGGACACTCTTAACTTACACAGATTTTGGTATGTAAAGGAGTCCATATATTAGTATGCTGATGAAATACAGTGGTTTGCCCAGGTATAGGGCTGGGTAGCCTCGTACTCTTGGTTTATAACAGACTGGTACTCATAGCATTCTTTGCACTTATACTTTATACAGATATTGGAATGTCAAGAGTCCATATGTGTTAATGAAAAGCCAATAATCATACTTTAGACTGGGTTGTCTTGTCTTAGTTTAAGGATTGAACACTGAAAGTACTTAAACTTATAAAGATATCGGTAATGGAATCTCTAGAAGTTGATGAAATTAGCTAATTTGCGATTGTTTTAGATTGGTCATTGGTGTCACTGCTTTCTTAACTAGAGGACACTCTGAAATTACATAGATTTTGGTAAGTCTGTATACTAGTGTGCTGATGAAATTCAGTGATTTACGCTTCTACACGGCTGGGTTGCCTGGTCCTGTTGGTTTTTATCAGATGGTTTAAGGACGGGGCATTCTTAAAGATACTGGAAAGTCAAGAGTCCATCTGTTTTAATGAAAAGGTAATGATCATATTTTGGACTGGAACACTGAAAGTACTTAAAATTACATTGATATTGGTAATGAAATCTCTAGATGTTGATAAAATTAGCTAATCTGTGCATGTTTTAGATTGGTCATTGATGTCACTGCTCTCTTAACTAGGGGGCACTCTTAAATTATACAGATTTTGGTACGTAAAGGAGTTCATATATTAGTATGCTGATGAAATACAGTGGTTTGCGCAGGTATAGGGCTGGGTTGTCTCGTACTCTTGGTTTTTATCAGACCGGTTTGTCTGGTACTCATGGTTTAAGGACGGGGCATTCTTACAGATATTGGAAAGTCAAGAGTTCATATGTGTTAATGAAAAGCTAATATCATATTTTGGACTGGGTTGTCTTGTCTTAGTTTAAGGAGGAGACACCGAAAGTACTTAAACTTACACAGATATCGGTAATGGAATCTCTAGATGTTGATGAAATGAGCTAATTGGTGCGTGTTTTAGATTGGGCTGTCTGTCACTGCTCTCTTAACTAGGGGACACTCTTAAATTACATAGATTCTGGTAAGTCTATATACTAGTGTGCTGATGAAATTCAGTGATTTACGCTTCTACAGGGCTGGGTTGCCTGGTACTGTTGGTTTTTATCGGACTGGGTTGTTTGGTACTCGTGGCATTCTTACTATTTAAGAGCCCATATGTTTTAATGAAAAGCCAATAATCATATTTTGGTCTGGGACACTGAAATTACTTAGAAATTACACAGATATTGTTAATGGAATCTCTAAATGTTGATGGAATGGGTTAATTTGTGCGTGTTTTAGATTTGGCTGTGTGTCACTGCTCTCTTAACTTGGCGACACTTAAATTAGACAGATTTTGGTAAGTCTATACTAGTATGCTGATGAAATTCAGTGATTTATGCTTCTACGGGGCTGGGTCGCCTAGTACTATCGGTTTAAGGGGCATGAAATAAAAAAAATGTGTGTATTAATCAGGTTGTCCGTGCGTGTTTAACGATGGAAGTCGTCTTGGCACGTACAGATATTGGAAAGTGAAAGTGCTCGTATGAACTCGTTCGTGTGTGCATGCGTTGGGCTGGGTTGCCTGGAGCTGTGGGTTTATCGGGGGGAGCACTCACGTAAACCCGGTGTGGTGGAATCCTAACGGCGGCTCACCGGACGATCGTGCGCTTACCTGTGAATGTTCATCTCCTGCGGCGGCTCCGTAGCCTTGTCGTACGCCACTTTGACGGACACCCCGAGCACGATGATGAACGCGATGATCCCGCACGTGATGTAGACCGCCGTGTTGGTGCTGTCCATGCTGGGGTCGTACGTGTCTCCGGTGGGCACGGGGGAAGGGGCGGCCGTTTGGACCCACTTGGGGGACTGGTAGTTGTCGCAGGCTTTCTGGTTGAGCCGGTCCTTCTTGTACTCGCAGCAGAAGCGCAGGAAGCACGTGCCGCAGCAGTACCGGTGGTCCGTGTTGTTGCATTCGAACATTTTGTCGTACTGGCCGCTCACGTCGTAGTAGCCCAGGCAGGTGTCGTGCGTGCTGACGGGTGCCGGGGGTGTAGTCCGCGGCTGGACCGTGGTGGGCATTAGTGTAGTTCTGGGGGGCTTCCGAGTGGACGGTTTGGGCTTTTTGGCGGGTGTAGCGGCGCTCATTACGCACAGCGGGTCTAAGTACATGAGCAGCAACAAGACGTGTCCAATCCCCATGTTGGACTAACTTCACGCGGCGACGCTGAGAGGCTGAGATGTGCGCTGGATTCTTTTTTTAGTCTTTCGCCAACGAGTCTTCGTCTTCCCGCGCCGCCGTCATCGCTGGAGACAAGTCAAGGGCACGTCACGCTGTTATCGATACGCGGTGGCACGAGCGCTGCATCTCCTAAAAAGCGCGAGGACACCGCAGCTCTTTGACGCGCGTCTTTGCCGTCCGCGGTGCTGTGACGCGCGCCTTTGCCTTCCGCGGTGCTGTGACGCGCGCCTCTTCGCTGTCCGTGGTACCGAAACGTCGCCGCGCTCGCTCGTCGGGACCGTTCCGTGCCGCGTCCCTCTTCGCTGTCCGAGGTGCTGAAATCCACACGGACACTTGGTGGTCTCCTCGCGGCTCCTCGGGGCTCGGGGCTCGGCGTCTTGGCGCTGGTTTCGGTCCGGTCTCTGGAGCTTGAGTCGAAGTTGCGCTGGAGAGACAAACAAGGCACTGGTTAAGCTGCGTCTTCGCGTCACAGCGGACTCCGAATTGATTTAAGCGCTTCTCACTACTTTCCCTTTACATTTGTTACTAAAAACACAATATTTGGAGCGTTAATCACACTATAATCTCTCGTTTTTAAGTAAATACAACATTAACATTTGGATTTACTGCACTTAAGCCCCTCTCCCCTTTCTATGCTCATGTCTGTTCTGGTGAGTGTTCGTACAGCGGCATACCTGAGACAGGACGCCCGCTGGGACTCCCTCCGCTCCCAGAGTCCTGACAGTGAGGAGGCTCTTCGCGCTCTGAAGCAGCTCCTCGGTCATCCCTCGCTCCCTCACTCTTTGCTCCGCCCCCGGGCTCTGACGTCACGCCGTGGTTGGCGTCAGAAGTCAGCAAAAGAAGCGCCCAGACCCCCGCTATTTCCCCCTCCTCCCCGGTCCTCCCTCTCTCTCTCTCTCCCTCCTCTCTCTGTCTCCCTCCTCCTCCAGCAGTGAGTCTGTTGGCTGTTTATTGGTATTAACGCTTTGGATTCAATTTGCTGCTCAGTTCTCAGTCCAAACTACACACTCGGCGAGATTACTTTTCAAGTCGAGTACAAATATTCCTGTTATGTGCAGTCAAAGGGGACGCTGTTATCCAAAGCGGTGTGTCAGGCTGCAGGCAGAACTCATCATCTGTACATTAGACACGATACCTAAACTAGAGTGTACACTAGGTAAGTTCAATGTCACTGAGGTTATGGGATAGAGAGATCATGGGTTTTGTTGCTGTGGTAAATGCAGCGTTCATCTGAAGTTGAGAAATAGCCTTAATTCTGTTGGAAAATTATGTAAAAACAGGGTCAGAAAGTTCACCGATTAAAGGGCTTAAAGAGGGAGTATTACACATGTGTGGGCAATCTGAGTATCAGCCGTTCATTGGTTTTTCGATATACAAGCAAAAATAATAAAAAAAAAAAACAGTTCTCTTCATTATTTGTCTCCGAAACCAAAATGAAAAAACTGATAATGATTTGTTTCTTCAGTTTTCGATTTTGTGTTTAAATGAAAAATGGAATAAAACGGATAACGGTCGTTTTCCGTTTTTGTGACTTAAACTAGGATGCTGAACTGAACCAGGACTAAACCAGGTCCAGGACCAGACCGAAACCAGACTGGGACTGAGACCAGGACTGAGGCCAAAACCGGACCAGGACCAGGCTGTGATTGAGACCAGGCCTGAGACTGGGACCAGACCGGGACTGAGACCAGGACCAGACCGGGACTGAGACCAGTACCAGACCGGGACTGAGACCGGGACCAGACAGGGACTGAGACTGGGACCAGACAGGGACTGAGACCAGGACCAGACAGGGACTATGACCAGAACCAGACCAGAACCAAACTGGAACCAGACCTGGACTGAGATCGGGACCAGACCAGGACTGAAAATGGTTTAGTCCTAGTTCAGTCTGTATGTGGCGCAAAAATCTGGCATCACAGTTGAAGTCATGGAAAAGGGAAACTGACATTATCTGTTTTTTCTTTTATTCATTTAAACACAAAAACACAAAAAAAACAAAAAAAACAAACAAACAAACGAATCATTACTGTTTCTTTCTTTTCTTTTTCTTTTTTTTTTTTCTTTTTTAATTGTATTAGAATAAAGTGTAATTGCACATCCACTACAGTAGTTGGAAGTGACACTCTCATTGTCAGAGTGTGTGTATGGACTATTGTGCAATTTTTTTTCTTTTGCACTGAGCATATACACACACAGCACACGCAGCACACGCAGCACATGCAGCACACACAGCACATGCAGCACACGCAGCACAGAGCAGGAGATATGAAGTGCAGAGAACAAACTGTATGTAAAACATTTGCAGCGTTTGGCTTCACTGTGACTACGGCAGGAAACGAGGAAAGATCGTTGTGTTTATCCATCCATTTTCGTCCGCTTATCCGGGGCCGGGTTAGGGTTAGGGCAGCAGCCTAAGCAGGGACTCCCAGACTTCCCTCACCCCAGACACGTCCTTCAGCTCCTCCGGGGGGACCCCGAGGCGTTCCCAGGCCAGCCGAGAGACATAGTCCCTCCAGCGTGTTCTGGGTCTTCCCCGGGGCCTCCTCCCGGTGGGACATGCCCGGAACACCTGCCGAGGGAGGCGTCCAGGAGGCATCCGGAACAGATGCCCGAGCCACCTCAACTGGCTCCTCTCGACGTGGAAGAGCAGCGGCTCTACTCCGAGCTCCTCCCGTGTGACTGAGCTCCTCACCCTATCTCTAAGGGAGCGCCCAGCCACCCTGCGGAGGAAACTCATTTCGAGCGCTTGTATCCGCGATCTTGTCCTTTCGGTCACTACCCAGAGCTCATGACCATAGGTGAGAGTAGGAACGAAGACTGACCGGTAAATCGAGAGCTTCGCCTTTTGACTCAGCTCCCTCTTCACCACAACGGTCCGATACAACGACCGCATCACTGCCGAAGCTGCACCAATCCGCCTGTCAATCTCACGTTCCGTCCTCCCCTCACTCGTGAACAAGACCCCGAGATACTCCACCCACCCGGAGAGGGCAAGCCACCTTTTTCCGGTCGAGAACCATGACCTCGGACTTAGAAGAGCTGATCTTCATCCCAGCCACATCACACTCGGCTGCAAACCGCCCCAGTGCACATTGCAGGTCCTGGTTCGATGAAGCCAACAGGACAACATCATCAGCAAACAGCAGAGATGAAATCCTGTGGTCCCCAAACCGGACCCCTTCCGGCCCCTGATTGAGCCTAGAAATCCTGTCCATAAACACAATGAACAGAACTGGTGACAAAGGGCAGCCCTGGCGGAGTCCAACATGCTCCGGGTACAGGTCTGACTTACTGCCGGCAATGCAAACACAGCTCCTGCTCCGGTCATACAGGGACCGGACAGCCCTTAGCAAAGGGCCCAGGACCCCATACTCCCAGAGCACCCCCCACAGGACACCACGAGGGACACGGTCGAATGCCTTCTCCAGATCCACAAAGCACATGTGGACCGGTTGGGCAAACTCCCATGAACCCTCGTGCACCCGATGGAGAGTATAGAGCTGGTCCAGTGTTCCACGGCCAGGACGAAAACCACACTGCTCCTCCTGGATCCGAGGTTCGACTATCGGCCGGATTCTCCTCTCCAGTACCCTGGCATAGACCTTACCGGGAAGGCTGAGGAGTGTGATCCCCCTATAGTTGGAACACACCCTCCGGTCCCCCTTCTTATACAAAGGGACCACCACCCCGGTTTGCCAGTCCAGAGGCACTGTCCCCGACTGCCACGCGATGTTGAAGAGGCGTGTCAGCCAAGACAGCCCCACAACATCCAGAGACTTAAGGTACTCAGGACGGATCTCATCCAACCCCGGAGCCTTGCCACCAAGGAGCTTTCCAACCACCTCAGTGACTTCAGCCAGGGTGATGAGTCCGTCTCCAAGTCCCCAGCCTCGGCTTCCTCCTCGGAAGACGTGACGGTGGGATTGAGGAGATCCTCAAAGTATTCCTTCCACCGCCGGACAACGTCCCCAGTCGAGGTCAACAGCTCTCCCCCCGCACTGTAAACAGTGTTGGTGAAGAACTGCTTCCCCCTCCTGAGGCGCCGGACAGTTTGCCAGAATCTCTTCGATGCCGTCCGATAGTCCTCCTCCATGGCCTCCCCGAACTCCTCCCAGCTCCGAGTTTTTGCCTCTGCAACCGCACGGGCTGCAGCACGCTTGGCCCGCCAGTACCCGTCAGCTGCCTCAGGAGTCCCCCGAGCCAGCAAGGCCCGATAGGACTCCTTCTTCAGCTTGACGGCATCCCTTACTTCCGGTGTCCACCACCGGGTTCGGGGATTGCCGCCGTGACAGGCACCACAGACCTTACGCCCACAGCTCCGAGCAGCCGCATTGACAATAGAGGCAGAGAATGAAGCCAACTCAGACTCCATATCTCCAGCCTCTCCTCATCCGGGAGAAGTCCTCCCGGAGGTGCGAGTTTGAAAGTCCCTCTGACAGAGGCCTCCGCCAGATGTTCCCAGCAAACCCTCACTACACGCTTGGGCCTTGGGTCTTTCCGGCTTCCTCCTCCGCCAGCGAACCCAACTCACAACCAGGTGGTGATCAGTTGACAGCTCAGCCCCTCTCTTCACCCAAGTGTCCAAGACACGCGGCCGGAGGTCAGATGACACGACTACAAAGTCGATCATCGACCTCCGGCCTAGGGTGTCCTGGTGCCACGTGCACTTATGGACACCCTTGTGCTTGAACATGGTGTTCGTTATGGACAAACTGTGACTAGCACAGAAGTCCAATAACAAAACACCACTCGGGTTCAGATCGGGGAGGCCGTTCCTCCCAATCACCCCTCTCCAAGTGTCACTGTCTTTGCCCACATGGGTGTTGAAGTCCCCCAGGAGAACAACGGAGTCCCCGGTGGGTGCACTGTCTAGTACCCCTCCCAAGGACTCCAAGAAGGCCGGGTACTCTGCACTGCTGTTCGGCCCGTAGGCCGACACCACAGTGAGAGACCTGTC